CCTGTAAAGAGCTCAGTCAAAGACAGACTCTCATATGCTCTTAACCAGACTGCTCCTGAGAAGCCTGCAGGTGGAACACCAAGTAAAACTGAAATGTTCGAGAATATATTGGGGGGAGATATTTAATCTCTAAACCTTAATCCTGGACAAGCAGTTTGGATATATTCTGTATCAGAAAGAACACTAGGAGATAGATTCAGAAATGGATTAAATCAAATGTGTAACTAGAAGATAAAAACTTTCTGGGAGAGGAAAAATAAGAGACTTCTGGCAAAACAAACTGATAAGTATGAATGTTTTGAATCTTTATCTTTTTGTGTGTAGGGTCAATAAGCCTGAGCACAGTACATTAAAATCTTTCTATATAGCATTCTATTAAACATACCGTTATAATGGGTATTGAAATGCCTTTTTCTTTCTCCAGAGAATAACAGAACAAAACGTTTAATCCCGAATGTTTATCTTCCTATGTTTGGGAGAGATTGAGTAAATGGAAGAATTGATAAGCTCTGTCTCTGGAGATAGAAATTATTCTCTGCATTGTTCCAGCCTGCAGGGCTTTTTACTTAGTACAAGAATATATGGTGCATGTTGTTAAAGGCTGGGGATAAACCAGAGAGGGAAGCAGAACTGGTGCTTTGCTGCCAGTGGCATCTTTAGATGAAGGAGAAAATTGACTGGGGAGTTTGGAAAAGTTATTTGAAAGACTGATGCTTGGAGCTTGAGGAGAGGAGCAACTCCATTTGTAGGTCAGTACTTAAAGCTGTAAGATGAGGGTGATACAAATAATGCGTACTTCTAACTCTGCCTTTGTAAAGATAAGGGGTTTTAACCCTCCAGTTCTCCAGCAAACCTTAATGGTATTAACTATAGATACTGTTTTCATGATATTGAGATGAAAACTTTTTCCTTTAAAGCTCACTGTTGGAGCTTTCTCATGGCTTATTTTTTTGAAACGTCATTTGGGAGAAGGGGGATTAACTTAATAAAAAAATGGACAGGCTCATCTCCTGCTCCCGCACTGCCATGGTCTGCAGACGTGCATAGGTGACATCCTAGCAACTGGGTGGCTGTAAATCCTGAGTAGGGGTCCCTAGCTTCTCTGAGGGGTAAATGGGGTCTTTCTGAGGAAACTGGTATGAATACGAATGGTAAACCTCCTAATGAGTTGACAAAAACCAGGAAGGGAGGTTTTTGCCCTTCAGTAGTTGCTGAAGGCAATAGCTACGGTTAGTTATTGTTAATAAGCAATATTAACATAATCATTTGAAGAAATCTTCTGACAGAAAAGTACAGCTGCAAAGACACAAGGGATAGTAAGTCCCATGAAGGTAAAGCCTATTAAGCTTTTTTTTTCAGAGTTCATCTTACATAGGGACCTCCTTTTCTTCACAAAGAAAAGAAATAAAGAGGAGAAAAATCCTTTCCTCATAAGCATTTTAGTTAGTAAATTCATTAGGTGGGCTTTTTGGTTTTCGTTTTATTTTTTTCATGTTTTGGAAGTTTGAAGTACTTCACTGTGATTAAAAACCTGATAAAAACCTTAAAAAGTGAGCCATTCAGCTGGTGCCTGCCCAGCACAAAGGTCTCATCCCCAGCTGTTGTAAGCCGGTGTGGCTTCACCAGCGCCGGTCTGTACTGACTGCTGCTAGAACTGAAAATGGTTTTTACATCAGACAGGCAAGTTGTGGAGCACTGAGCTGCTGGCTTATGCTCTTGAATGCGTGTCCATGAAATAACCTTTACCTCTGAGACCATGAGAAGAGGGTATATAAACGCTGCCTTTCTAAGTTTTAGGCAGTGACTGAGATGCCTGAGCCAAGGTGAATGTCTCCGTATCACCTTATCCCGGCCATGAAGGGACAAACCAGCCTGCCGAGGTGAACGCCAGAGTTGGCTTTGCCCAGCCTTGCTGCTGAGCTGCCAGGGTTAAGTCCAGCCTTTGTAACACCTACTCAGCCACCAATTGCAGTTATTAGGAGCAACATGAAATGTCATTAGGATGTAGTTGGGAGCATCCCTTCCATTTGGGGGGGGGGGCATGATTCATGCCCAAGCGATCAAAAGATGCTTTTATCTCATTCCAAAGTGTGGCAAAACCACTAGATGACCAGCCCTATATAAATGGTATATTTTATTTAAGTTTCCCAGTTCAGTTGTTGATTCTCCTGCTGTGAGATGTTTGCTGTTACTTCCTACAGAGTATAGCAAACTGTGTAAATCAAGTAGTCAGGTTTTACAGAATTACAAACCCATGAGTTTAATTTGTGCCCTGAAGGGAGGTCCAGCCACTGGCTGGACTGCTTGTGAGTGTGGAGTCGTTAATAATTCATCGGTAACCATTAAGCAGCTTGAAAATATTTGTACTTTGAGAGTAACCTGAGCTCTGCTGCAAGGAAAAGAAAGGGGGGGGTGGGGAAGCATGGGGTAGCAGCAGGATAAAAATGTCATTTAAATTGAATGTTGCCATTAGAAAGTTAGGGTAATTTTTCACCTGAAAAATGTAATGAAAGTGTATCTTTGCTATGTCTTTCTTCAGATCACTTTCCTGATCACTTGAGATCGCAGTTTCATTGAATACAAAGAAATTAATTTTGATTCATAAAAATTGACCGGTTACAACGCAATAATATTTTTGGTTGCTGTTTGTTTAAATATAAGGAGGAAGGACTTTAGTAAGGCCTTAGGAAGGAATTTGAATTTAACATTAAAGCACGTGTGAAACTTTTGCTGACTCACACCAAATACAGCTACTGATGGTTTAAGTCATATGCAAAGTACTGCATAATTAATTCCACGTTGACAGCCTTCGTGATTTAAGTCAGAAAACAACCAGCAGCCCTGAAAAGCATTCCACAGCTGCTCCAATGCTATTCTTCAGGGACTTTCTCCCACTTTAGTCATTCTGGGTTCACTTGATCTTTGAGTCCTTTGCTGAGATTACCAGAATGGCGAACACGCTCTGAAACTAATTTGACGCTGCAGAATTTTGAACAATAATAAGTTTTGGTTGTTGGTAGTCTGAGAATAGTACATGTAGTAATTCCAGGCTCGAGTTAAAGTGCCTGTCCCCGGGAGGGAATTTGGCTGAGATAACTGGTTAATTACAGTTTTAAGAGATGACTTACTGAGGAATTGAGAAGGATCTAAATGTTCTGCCCAATAAGGGGAGATTTTCCTCTAGTTTTAGAGCAGGTGCAGAAAGCTTCATGCAAAATAAAACATTTTTCTAGTTTTGCTGTTGTGAATGCTGAATTGATTTCATTTGTATTAGTATAGCTTCCGGTTGAAGCAGAAGAGATCCTGTGCTGAGAGAAATTATCAACAGTTCAATGCCTTGCTCTTTCAAGAAAGAGGCTACAGACTCAAATAGTGGAAGAAATGTGTGGGTTTATATGTAGGCGATTTGCCTTAAGGCTTCTGTTAGGAGAGTCTTTCTGGTGCTTAATAAATCTGCTATTGCCTGAGAAGTACTTTTTCTTGAAGTCAGCTGAAAAAACTTGCCCTGAACGAGTTTGATGAGGTCGACATCTCAGCATTTTCATTATACAACGTTTTGTAGGTGCTGTGTGTATGTGAAGTTGCCTGCTGGTCTAATTGCCTACCGTTCCCCCTACCTCCCCCGATACTTGGAAATAAATAACTGTGAGAGAACTTGCTTAGGCAGGTTCAGTTTACAGACTTCTATGAGATTTTGCTTTGAGCTGTGAAATGTCATGTTGGATTTAACTAACACATCGAGTAAACCAATGATTATGATTGCAAAGTTGAATATAAAATATTTGAAGATCAGGGTAGAGGAAGGTGGCAAAAATTATGCATGCTGCTTTACTTACACAGATATTAATTGGTGATTAAACCAGATTATTTCTGAGAATAGGAATTCTGGCTGGCCTGGAATTTTGAGAGGTGGACTAAATCTGCTAGTCAGTAGCTTATGAAAAATATGCTTAGAAAGTTAGCCCATTTCTCAAGTTGTGAATGTATAAATATTAAGATGAAAGATTGCAAGATGATAGCATTATGGTAATAGAGAAATCCTTAAACTGCTTGCAGAGTAAGCATAAATCCTTTCTGCATTTCTTTGCATTTAATAATATTTCTTTTCAACACCATGACTTGTACTCTGACCTACTAATTTATTAATGTATTTTTGTTACATTTAGGCATCTCAGATATTACTGTTAAGCTTTCTTTCAGTGTATTACTATAAAGGAGTTCATAGCATGGAAAATGTATCTTGCGTAGAAACTGCCCAGTGCTATTTACATGCCTTCTCTTTAAAAACAACTGTTCAATTTTTTAGATCATCACTGTAAAAATGATGTTTACTTGGGGCCAGAGCTAAGTTTTTTCATAAATTATGTATGAGCATATACGGCAGCTTTTTGCACCTACAAGTGAGTTTTATGAACTTACTTTTGTAAATGTGTTATCTAAGTACTATTTGTTAAAGTTGCTTGCCCCAGACTGTTTCCTGGCAGTTGTTAAAAGCACTTGCTAATGGAATGCTATATCCTAATTCAATATGCTTTGCTACCTGCTTCAAAACTGGTGAATTGCCTAGTATAGTAGTAAATTTGTAAGCAATTTGCTGTACTTTGCTCTGAAAATTTTCCAGTACATTAGTTATTGCATTTGTACTAGCTGTATTTCCAGTTCTGTTGAACTTCGGTGGGTAAGGAAAGCCTAAAAGGGGCAACTGATAAAATGATGTTTTAACACTCTGTGTCGTGCAAGTCAATGCTGACATTTTCCAAAAAGGAGGTTATGCAAGTCCTTTAAGGATATTATGTGTGCTTCTTGTGGGATGTACAATTGCCTTAAGAAAAACAGCGATCAAAAAATATGAGAGAAGAAAATAAATTCCACATTATATTTTCAGAAGCTTAATTTTGGGCTTCTCTTACTTTTGGAATTACAATATAAAGCGTGCCTAGAAGAAGGTAGATGCGGCAATAAATCTACCTGCTAAGTACTAAATCCTTTTATATTTTCAGAAAAAAGCCAAAGGCCAGCTCCTGTTTGAACAGATCATGTATCATCTGGACCTTATAGAAAGCGACTACTTTGGATTAAGGTTCATGGATTCTGCACAAGTGGAGTTGAGTAGCAGTGCTTTTTTTCTTTTTTTTAAGCAACAGTCTAAAAGTGAAATCTTAATATTGACAAAAATGCTATAAGAAGGCTGCCTTTTTTGAGTTAAGTTTTGTGCAGAAGCTCTGTGGTGTGTTAGTTTAAGTGACGCCAAGTTTAATTCCACCTCGAGCACTCTAACATATTACAACACTGTTGTCTCTTCCTTTCTTGTCTTTCGCTTGTTCCTGTCACACCTTCTGTTGTCATTAGGCAGGCTGGTCCACTAGGACCCCAGAGCCTGGTGCACCATGTAGAAATTCTTGATGCTGCTGATGCAGAGGGGACGGGGCAAAACTAGAGTGTGTGTTTGGCCCTTCGTTGTTCTACAGAGTGGAGAAAGTTTTCCTTTACCAATGCCATCAACTTTCTCATCAGCAAAAGTCATCATGTTAATGTCTGCTTGGGAAATAATCTTCGCAAGAGGGGTATACCTTTGATTTGCTCAAATCAGTTGTGACTCAGACCCGCAACTAGAAATTTTTGGGAGGATATAGGTGTGTTTGTATGTACCAGACAGTTTGAGTAGAGGGTTCTTGCAAGCCTGAGTTTGTGAAGTTTGTTGTGTGTTTGTAAATATGTGACTGCTTTTGAAAACAGCAGCAGAGCATTGTTTGTCAGAAGCAACTGCAGTTCTTTCACTTGAGGGCTGTGCAGTTTTATATAGATACTTCTTATGGCCAGGTACTTAATCCTGTCCACAAGGATAGCTGCAACTTAAGTGAGGCGTTAGACAAGGAGTGGATTTTTACCTCTGTCCTGCATCTCTGTAACTTAAACCTGTGTTCACTTATCCCAACACCCCCAGGTAGAATGAGATCTGAGTTTTCATACTGTCTATGTCAATCTTACTTGTTAGATGTATGACATAATTGTTTCTGTATTTCAAGTCCACTTCAGAATTATTTCATGATTAGGATGGCACAGTGGAAGCACAGACAGTTGCTGCTGAGCTAAATACCTGAATTGTTTGAGGTCAGCATAAAAAATGGAGGCAATGACATATATTCCTTTACTTCTGTGAGGATCTATGTCCAGAACAATTTGAAGGTGGCATCTTAATTGTTACAGCTTTGTACGATGGCAAAAAACTCCCCAATCTTGAATCTTTGAAAGAAAGATTTGAACAGAAAAGATTTTGAATCTCTCTAATCTTTGAAAGAAAGATTTTGAAAGACAGCTTTGGACACGATGTTATCCACCCCAAAGCACACTTATAACGTGATGGCTTCTTTTCAAAATTATGCGATTGAGTTTTATGCTTAGCTTGTAATTGTAGAGAACATTCTCTTTGGAGAAAATAATTTGTGTTCAGCATCTGAAGCAAACTTCATGGCTAGCGGGATTAGCTGCAGCTGGGCTGCAGTTCCCAGTGGTGAAAGTGATCTTAAACCTCTTGCGGAACAGAGACTTTTAACACTAAGGAGAAAAAGACCATCACACTAACGGAGGGATGTCATTCAGAACCATGCATACCTCCTACCAGCAGAAATTAGAAAACAGCCCATTGCATACCATTTTATATTTATAAAAATCATGTTAGCTTTGTTAAGCATGTGCAGTCTAGGATGTTGAGTATTGATAGTGAATGACTCCATTGCATTTATCTTTTTGCTTCAGGAAAAAAAATAATCTGTATGTTTTGGGTATCCTAACTCAATTTCTGCCATGTGGCTTCTGAAGTATTTCCATGTGGCTTTAGGATCTCATAAGAGTTCACAGTGGATTAGTTATAACTGGTGAAACTATCTGTATGGTAAACTTTTTTCTCTTACTGTTCTGTTAGAAAATAACGTCATTTCATCTTGAAATAGGAAAATAAGAGTTAATCTTTTCTGTCTCAGCAATGGCTCATGGCTTGCTTTTGTCCAGCAAATTGTTACTTCCAGTCCAGACAGCACCTGATTGAGTATTTGATACTGCACAATCTACCAGATACAAGCAATTTCAAACTTAGTTTGCTTCCTTTTCTTGACTATGTGTGACTGAAAAGAGGCAGAGTAGAGATAACAATCTGTTTAAACTGGACTTTAAGGATACACTCTGTATAACGAAGCAGAAAAGATTGCATTTTGCCTAAAGAGCTGAACACAACAGCCAGAGATAATCACTTTGAGAAAGGAAGAACTGTTGTGATGGCAGCTGTTCTTGCAAAGAGGAGCTGGGACATTCTAGCAGAAACCCAATCTGCAGCTGGAAACAAAGAGACTAATCAAGTGACTTGTCAAAGATTATTCAGGAGACCTGTTAAATAAGCAGTGTAAGAATCCAGTCTCTTACTGTGGACAGAATTGTCTGCTGGCTCTGAAGGAGATAATCTTTCTGCTAACCAGTTTAAGTATATTGCCTTACTAGCTAGTTGCACCTTATGATATAAACACACTGGCAAACTAGCAATGTGTAGTTAAGTAAAAAATTGGGAAATTCCCCGCTTGTTTTAACTACAAATAAGTTTTCAATGGATTCATTTTGAACAGTTGAAGGATAGCTTTTTTTTTTATTCTTTTGAGCTGCTGAAGTGATTAGTAGTTAGGTGTTTGAGTTTATGATGTACTGGGGAGTGGGGGGAACCCTGATAACACAAACTCTTCCTGACATTTTGGATTTTAGGATTCAAATACTAGCTTCTTTAAAGAAGTTCTTGAAACAGTTAGTGAAGTGAAAGAATTCTGATTTGTGTTCATTGGTAGTCTGATGGTTAGGAATAGATTCCCCCCGTCGCAAAGTAAGAGGCAGGAGATGGCAAAAGGAGTTATTTGCAAGATTGTCCACCATATATCAGACTTGGTCTGGCAGCCAAGGGAGCAGGCTATTGTTAATTTGAGTAACTTCGGTTCAGGCTGACAGTGAACAGCACAGCATGTCCAGTGACACAAAAGATGAAGATAGCTGTTAACTTGTTGGGCTATTTGGCTTTTCCTCTAGCAATGCTGGAGAGATGTTTCTACTAAGGAGGCATTGAACATCTAACAGGTGGCAAATTTCTAATTCTATCATACAGGTTGCAAGCATCAAATACTTGCTCTTCCTAATGGAATTGTGCAACACATTGGTGTTTAACTCTGGCAGTTTTATCTAATGTAGTGCTTAATGCAGAAAATAATTTGTATAGCATTGCACTAAGTATGCACCCATTAATTCCATAAAGTATGGGACCAGTTTTAGCTTCACCGTCTTACAAAAAAAACTCGTTTACCCTACCTTCTTGAAATGTTGCTGGATTTTGGGTTTTTTGTTTTGGTTTGGTTTTGGTGGGTTTTTTTAATTTCTGAAGCAGCAAACTGTTTTAGTAAGGACTATCAGTACTTTATGCAGTCTGTTGTTCATATTGCTTTTTGTTTAGCAAACTTTATCTCTGGATTTCAGCAGTAGACTGTGCTGAGCAAACTGTCATCAAAATGTAAACTTTTTGCCAGGTCCACTTGAATTCCATTTTAATCACTTGGAATAAATCTTAAGTTTCCTGATGTCTGTGTGTGTCCATGCATGTGTTGGTTTTGGGTTTGTTTTGGTTTGTTTTTCCCCCCCCCCTCCATTTAAAAGCAGTTCTGTTTCCCTTCTTCCATGCACACCCTTACCATTCAGATGGAGCTCCTGTAGGCAGCGGTGGTAAGAGCCGAGCAGAGTAAAACGCTATCAGTGCCTGTCGCGGGCCTCTCAGTTGCCTTCCCATGGAATGTGGAGGAGATGAGAGAAAACAGGAGGGAGATGAAACAGGCGTGCACAGTCAGTCCAGGAGCCTAGAAATGGCGCTCTCTGCCATTCTTGTATCTAAATCACCTGCAAGCCTCCAAGTGGGTATTTTGTATATTTTTATGGTGGAGGAAGGAGTAAGTAAATTGTCTCCTACAGCAAGTGAGTTTATGGAATAGGAAGAGAGATTATATCATTTTCTTAAACAAAAAAAAAATTGCTCAACTCCATTTCGCTGGTAGTGTAAGCAAAGTTGACATAAATATTTGCTTCATTCTTCCTTAAGCTTCCTGCTTTATTTTAAAAATATATTAGATATATTTCAGATAGCTTTCTGTAGCTACTTTGTTTTAATAGGTAATGAGAGCATTTTCAGCTGTGTGTACAGCAGCAGTAGGTGGTTCAGTTGTTGTGATCTGCAGCTAATATATCAATCACTGCATATCCTGGCTGTATTACAGGCTGACTTTACACCCCCTCTGCAGAAGGCAGGGCTGCTGGAATGTGTTTGCACTTGGCATTGCAACCTGAAAATACCGGTTCTTTCTCACACCCCTGTTGCTCCTCTGTCCTCCTTGGGGCCTGCTGTGAACTTCGTGGCACATAGTTTAACAAAAAGAGTGTTGCTAAGTATATAATTCCATCTGTATTGGTTGCAAGGTGACATTTGGGATTGATCAAATGAGGTGGTGTTACCTGGGCATTGTGAACCATGCAGGACATGGTGTGCTAGGTAGTTTGCTCTGGCTATTGAGTCAATGCAATTATGTTGAATAGGGTGCCCTGTTTACTGTTTAACTGAGTCACCTCCTTTGGAGGAGGGAGCTGTTCACTACACACAGCACTTGGAAGTAGGTCTCTACCGCTAGGTGTATGTTAGCTTTCCAGCTTTATCTTTAATTTCTGGTATAAACTCTTCAGCAGTGGGAGCATATGCAATTATTTTAGGGAGCATAGCAGATACATGTAGATGTTTCTCTCAACCTGCCATCTGTAGCATATTTTTCACATGCTCTTGTATTCACTATAAGTGAAGCCATTATTTTGGCTTCATGTCTATTATATAGCCTATAATTAGCATTAGTAGGTGAGGCAGTAAATTCTGTCCTCCCATGTGACAGCTGCTAAAATGTCACCTGTGAATAGATTTTGGAGAATTAGGTAGAGCTGACCCTTATGTTCAGACATAGACAGCTTTGCTGTTACTACACTTGAGTCATCTGAAGAAAATGCCTGAAAGCCAACAATATTTATTTTGTCTTTCCCCTTCCACCCCAAGTAAACATCACACACAGCTAAGTGCCAGAGTCTCCAGCTATGATTTATGCCTCTGGCACATTGTCACTGGCTGACCTACTAATGTGTGAATTAAGTATTTGTTTGGACAGGATGAAAATTTTAGTAATTTTTTTAAAGTAGATAATGCTTTCTTGAAGATTGGCTTTAAATAAGGTACTACAGGATGTTGCTGTTGTTCAAAACTGACATTTTGCGTTACAAACTTTGAGTGAAAGGATCTTTGATGAGCACTGAGAGAGCTGTGAATTGTGAAAGATTTGGATTAGATTGTTTTAACAAACTACTTGTTATTGCAAGATGGTCTTCACTAACGAATAGTTTCTTTTTTTCCTTTTTTGCTCTTTCTGTGAGATTTCTTATCGATAATTCAATGAAAGTAATTTATTTTTCAGCATTGGTTGGACAACACAAAAAGCATTAAAAAGCAAGTTAAAAGTAAGTGTCCTTTCCGTTTTCTCTTGGGATCTCATATTGAATGTACAGGAGGCATAGAGAGTTGGAGGGGGGGGGGGGGGGGTAGTCCGGGGATAACTCTGTTATCTTTGCACAACACTTCATTGCACCATGTAGATACCCCCTGAGGAACTGTTCTAAAGCCTTTGATAAAACAGGAGGTGAAAAACTGTGGATTGGAACTTGGAGCACAAAGCTCCAAGAAGTGGCACTGGAAAGCATGTACAGCCTCTTAGGACTCACAGGCAAGTTGAATATTTGGTCAAAACCTTTATCATGGCTGTAGCAGTAGGCTGATTTACACCAGTAGGGAATCCAACCCTTTGCTTTTTTCACTCTGCTGTAGCATTAAGGGTGAGGGGTGACAAGGTCCGGTGACAGAAACCCAGCATGGTGCTGCTGATTGTTTAATGACCTCTTCCCTCTGTAGCTCATATTACTTTAGTCTAATGACCTTAATTAAACATGTTATAGGCTCATTAATTATAGTTTAAATGGAGTCAAGGCAGCTGAAGACGTTTAAGCGTTATAGATCGTTATCCTGACTATAGGAAAACTTTGTCTTGGAGCCTCCATCCCTTGGGGCAGCCCTGAATGCCCAAATCTGTGTTTGGTCCACCAAGTCCTTACCTGCTGCACAAGGGTTTAATGTGGCCTGGTTGTTTCAGTAGTGCGTGCTTGGGTAAGCTCTGACATCAGCTGATTTTTGTTTAGCAGCTTCCTTGCTCTGCGCTGTGGGAAGTCTTCAGGGATTTGTGGTGCTGTGTTAATACAACAGAGGTTTTGGAAGCACCGAGAGAGAGAAAATTCCTCCTGTCAAATGCAAGAATCAGCAGAGCGCTGCACATTTTTAAAGAACTGTTAATCCATCCTTTTGCTGAATTAACTCTTTGGTTTCCCGAACAGATGATTCTTCCACAGAAGGGTCTGATAAATCCCCCTAAAATATGTCTACACTTCTGTGGAATAAAGGGGCCTGAGTTGTCAGCAGTGGGTATTTCCCAGAGCCCTGGGAAGGCGTTACAGAGACCAACAGAGTGCCTGGGGTTTGGTCAACTGCAGAGCCAAGATGCACAGCTTTCTTGGTGATGGATAGAGTCCTTAAATATAGGGATTAACCTAGATTTGTGTGCTCTTGGCAGGACAAATCAACTTAATGTGATATGACTGTTGGACTGACTTGTAACATATAAAGCAATTTTGTGCATATATTTAAGTGTCCTTTCACCCTGATGTTTTTCATGCATTTCCCTGTCACAAAGGAATTCCTGCCTTAAGACCTTGTGGTAGGACAGAGACAATTTCAGTCAAGTTTTGTGATGTGATTCTGTGTAATAAAAAAATAAGATGTCTCATCCAGTAATTGTTACTGCTGTCTTGAACAAATTCTACTTTGCAGTTGGCCCACCGTATTGTCTGCATTTTCGTGTAAAGTTTTACTCATCAGAGCCCAACAATCTACGTGAAGAGCTAACAAGGTAAGAGGGATTTTGTGTGAGAGAGAGGTACCCAAATAAGGCCAGGAGAATGTTTTTGTGGTATTTATTTAAACAGTTGTACGATGTTTTGGAGAATTCCTTAGAGCTGCTTGCTTACTTGGTTTTTTGTAAATGTTTCTAATGTAGCTCTCATGAAATAAATGAGCTTTAATATCAAGAGATCTATATATTTACTGTATTACTTGATGCACCATTTTTCATTAGGCAATTCTGGCAACTGATCTGAGTAGCTTATACACAATGGACAGAGGTTTTTACTGAAGAGAACAGACATCATTCCTCTATTATTCTTAAGCTGCATTTAATTTCAACTGTATGCAGTCATCGTGTTTCTTAAGGCAGAAAAGCGTTGAATTGCAAGTTAGAGCTTCTCTTTGGCAAAAATAAGTTCGGTTAACGTTTCATTACTTCTGTGGTCTTTGCAGAGTTTATGGAAAGGGAAAATAGTATTTTACTACCATGTTGAGATGTGAGTTGACAGTACTATATGTGTAGGATTGTAGCATCAGGTGAACAGCAGTTTCTCTTGAGTAAAGCATTTCAGATCTGTTCATAATGCTGCATTTCATGTTGGACTGAGACGTACTTGGGGTGCTTTGAAGGAGAACACAACCTACCATCTGTCAGTAGTATAAATTTGTTGTAAAAGGCAATGTTTAGCAGTGTTGTCACCACTGCTGATGATCCATTTTGGAGAGAAAACAAAGTTGTTATGTTTTCTTGATAGCTGTAGACGCTTCATACCCTCAGCCATTTGTAAGAGCATAAAGTTCATTTGTTTGTTCAGGTTTGTCTGAGTGGATCTTTGATCTGCACTTTAGCCAAATCCCTAGGAGTGCTACCAGGAAGATTATAGTAGCATTACCCCTTACAGCCATATGGACCCTGTGCAGCTTCATACTTACGTGTGGTAACGTAATGTTATAACTGCTCTTCTTTAATGCTTTCCTGCCGATCTGGAAAGAATGTTTTACCTCCCCATTCATGTTCCTGCATAAACATTTAACTGTCTTTAAAAATAGTGACCATAGACAAAATTTAGACCTACATCTGTGTCTACCACTCTGAAACATTTTCATCCATCCTGACTGAGTTCTGCCAGTCAGACCTTGCTGTACAGGTTTTAGCAGGGCAGACCTGAAACCTGAGGGCTTTTAAACCCTGTCTGTCTGCTTAGCTAATCCCCCAGAACACGAGAGCAGCAAGTCTTTCTTCTGTCTTGAGACAATTTTATGCCTTAAAGAAGCAGTGGGAAGGGGAGCTCTGCTATGGGTTATAAGTGTCACTAGCAGGGGCTTTCTGAGGGTTCTGCCTTTTCTTTGTGCAGCAGGACACCCAGCTGGAGCCACTTTTCAGCTTCCACAGGTGCAGCTTGCTCACGTTTTCGGCCAGCTTCCCATCAGATGCCACCAGTCAGAGGTCACATAACACAGTCTAAGCATGGGAAGTATGCTTGAATTGTTTGCAAGTGTTATGTGGCTGATAAGCACGGACTGGTCACACCCACTATACACTGGAGGCCTGTGCTCATTCTTTTGATATCTAGGGTCAGTACCAAACAAATTTATTCCCCATGTAGGGGCCAGTGTTCAAAAGGCTTTGGATAATAAATGGTTTGGCAAAGTAATTTGTGGATTTCCAGGGGACCTGTGGGAAAAATGCCTGTACTTTTCGTGTGAGAAGTATGTGAGTATTGAGGAGGCATAGGCACGTGTTGAAACAGAAGCATCGTTGTTGGCTTTGTGCATAAGGCTTCTGTTCATCTGTAGCAGAATGCAAACTGGATACCATCGCGGATGACAGCGTTTTAGTTGATGAGACTACTTCTTCTCTTGTTAAAGGAAAGCTGTGTACCGTAATGGAGCAAGAGGGCTACACTCTGTGGGTATTGGATCAGAAGGATTGGTGTTGCACACCAAACGGATAGGAGCTTTGTATTCAATACTTGCCCGATTTCTAAGCAAGAAGAGTACTGAATAAGCAAGGCAGTGAAGGAAAACTGGCTCTGAAGAGTAATCAAGTTGATAAGGCTGCAGCCTACTGTTTATCTTTTTGTCACTTTGCAGTCAGCTTTCTGGGTTAGATTTTAACTAAGCAATCCATATTAGGAACATTTATTTTTGAGAGACTTTAAAATATTCATTCTCTTATGAGATCTATATGTCTATGAATAATGAAGAAAATGTGGAAGGTGCACGTTGTTCTTTGCCCAAGTAAAAAATGAGACTGACTTAGGTATCCTATTTCTTTTTTCATGCAGCACTGTAGTTCAGCTTGTGACAATTTCTAGTTTTGGGTTTATTTCATTTGAAATGTGTGCAAAGCATACAAACCCAACTGATAAAGCCTTGAAAGATCACAATGCAGTTTCTTCAGTCTTGAAAACCCATGTAAAGAGTAGAAAATGTTTTTATTTGTCAGGCTCTAACTTCCTCCTGTTGGCTGAGTGACACATTAGAACTATTAATTTTAATGACTTTTATTTCTTATTTAATCCTACAGGTATTTATTTGTTCTGCAGCTGAAACTGGATATTCTTAGTGGAAAGTAAGTATTCCCAATAAACAGCCTTGTAAACAATTACATTGTGTTTAGCATAGGATTTATTAAAACTATATTTGGACAATTAATAAGTTTTGCTAAGTAATGTAATGTTTTTTTTCTCTAAAATATGACTTTTCTATGCATGAATAGCAGCAGAGGAATGCTTAAATAACGTAGTGCTTATCTCTTGTTAATTTGCTGAAAATCTACTAATCCTTTTTCACTTTCTTATCCCAAACATTTGCAGTTTCTCACCATCAGGTATATGAGTTGTCTGTTAAATAGTGTCAGCTAAGCTTTTAACAATGCATTTCTCTTACGGCAGATTGGAATGTCCTTTTGACACAGCCGTCCAGTTGGCAGCTTATAACATGCAAGGTGAGTAGGTATGAGCAGGTGTCACGGTTTAACCTCAGCCGGCAACCGAGCACCACACAGCTGCTCACTCACTCTCCCCCCGCCCCGGTGGGATGGGGGAGAGAATCAGAAGAGTAGAAGTGAGAAAACTCGTGGGTTGAGATAAGAACAGTTTAACAATTGAAATAAAATAGTAATAACAATAATAATAAAAGAATATACAAAGGAAGTGATGCACAATGCAACTGCTCACCACCCACCAACCGATGCCCAGCCAGTCCCCGAGCAGCGGCCCCCCCGGCCAGCTTTCCCCAGTTTATGTACTGAGCATGACGTCACACGGTATGGAGTGTCCCTTTGGCCAGTTTGGGTCAGCTGTCCTGGCTGTGCCCCCTCCCGGCTTCTTGTGCACCTCCCGCCTTCTCAGTCGGTAGAGCATGGGAAGCTGAAAAGCCCTTGACTAGTGTAAGCACTACTCAGCAACAACTAAACCATCGGTGTGTTATCAACATTATTCTCATGCTAAATCCAAAGCACAGCACTGTACCAGCTACTAGGAAGAAAATTAACTCTATCCCAGCCGAAACGAGGACAGCGGGGAAGGATGAAGTTGCATGAACAGCTTTGTGTAGACTCTTATTACGTCTTTTAGTCTGTATTTGTTATATCCAGAAATAGGTTCTGCCCAGATGTTAGTGAGCCAGTGTAAAACACAGCTCTTTTTGATTGTAATTTTGCTGAGAGCATATATAGAAAACTACTCGATTCCTCAGGAAACAGAACAAGGAGGTCCTAAACATAAACAGCTTTGCCCTAAACTTGTTTTCTCAGGTGCTTGTGTGCAAACCTGTCCACTTTCACACAAGATACAAGGTCTGCAGTCTTCCTGAATTGCTTTGATGTAGTAACACAGTTCACTTCTTTTTTTCATCGTGTAGTTTCTGCCATGTGTTTTCTTTCTTGTATGAATCAGGTACAAAACTATTTTGGTTCTGCACTCAGTTGAAAAGTCCTGTATATAAAAACCACCAGCTTTTGACTTCAGCTTATTTGTAGAAACATGTTAGTGCCCCATTTCTCATGCTTTTTTTACTTGAGCATTTGTGGTTGAACAGCACTTGTTGGTATTTCAGATCCTTCTTCAGCCAAAAGAGATGACATACTATATTTGTTTTCAGCTATACAGCTCTCTGCTTGAGTCATCTGAGACTCTTATTAATGAGTTGTCTTTAACTTTTGATTCCAGCTGAGACTCCAGCATCCATGGCTTCTCTGAGAGAGAAGGCCTGAAGGCCTGACCTTCAGTTGCTTGTATAGGTTGTACATCACTGAGCTTCATGGCCAATGTCTTCTGTTGTTTGGATGAGGGTGTGATCTTAACAAATGTGAAGTTTGCTGTGGTTTCAAGCAGGGGAACTCGCAAAAAGAGGGGAGGCTTGAGATTTTAGAAATGTCTGCCAGAGTAGGCTTTTGAGTCCTTATTGGAGGATATAGCTATATGCCCTTATTCAATCCAGTTTATGAGTCTACAAAAAAACCCAGAACCTCTGCTGTAAAGCTGTTGTACAGTCCTCTTTGATGAAGAGGGAATTTGGAGATGTGCCATGCGTTTGTGCCGCACAAATTCTCTACACAACATTCATCTTATAAACCAATGCACTGTTGTACTTACTTTGCAGGAGTTAGCTGACAGGACTAGGTCACTGAAATTCTTTCTCTTAGAGATATTTTCCAAAACACATTTTGTTCTTCAGGCAGGAACTACTAATGGCCCTGATCATGTGTAGGTATAGAGAGTTGGGATTAAACTGTAAAGATATCTGCCTTTTTAACCTTCTCTTTTGTGTGGAAGAAAAACAGTTAGAATACATTCCATAGTTAAAAATATTAGCATCGTTAGAGCCTTAAGATATGGGTTCAGTGGATAAGTTTTTGGAAAAACAAAGTGATCTAATTAGGCCATATATCCATTACTTTTTGTGCTTGTCTTTTCTTTCCTCTCTTCACAATGAGGCCTGTAGCAGAGCTTTAATCTTACTGTCTGACAGCTGTGTACTTTTATTTAAATCAGCTGGAACCTAAGCTGGCTTTGACAGCATTCCTTTCAACAGAGGCAGGCGTTCTAGTGGGAGGAAATTATTATAGAACTACAGACTTCCTCAGGAAGCATTAAAAAAAAAAAGAAAAAGGAGGGGGTGGAAAGACTATTATTATGCTTGCAGTGTTCAGAAATCCAAGAAACAGGTTTTTAGATCGTATGTAGTTTTTGTACCTGTGGAATACTGTGCGTATTTATTTGACCTTTCCAGGTCTTCCCAAAGATGTCACTATTTTTTTCTTATACAAACATCTGTAGTTTCTTTTTTCAGACAGTACAATTATTGGCCTATATCAGACACCCAAGTTCCAAGTTACAGAATTATTCCTAATTTTTTGGATATGAGGTGAACATTAAGAAGCTGCTTGAAATCAGTGGGAAGAGCAAATAGTTAGTGACTCTGAAAATCAGGACATTTTTATAAAGGTTTCTAACTGTGAGTTTCAGCATTTTAGGCATACATCAGTCTTCAAAAGCTGGACTTGTTAGCATCTGTGGAAAAAGGAGGTTGTGCTTTTGATGTGGCACACCCATTGACTAGTATGTTCCAGTATGCTCTCTAAATAGCATCTCTTATTGCCCCTGTTGAGCATGCAGCAGTGGACTAGATGAGCCATTTGACTGACCCAGTAGGGCATTTATTATGTTGTTAGATGAAAAGGAGAGCGACAAATAACAGCTGCATGATTGTGCCCTGACACAGAGTAATTTTAGTAGGAGAGGGGGATTTATAGCCATAAACCCAGAAACTGATTTTTAGAACGGACAAATAGTTTTATGAGAAGTGTCAGAACTGTTTTTGCTTTTTACAAATCTCAAGAGATTTTGTTCTAATAATTTAAGGAAAAATTCCATTGTAACTTTAGTCAGCTGTTGTCTCAGTAGAGGCTTCAGTGATAAAAATGTTGAAAACTGCAAGAAAGAAAAAAGGTGAGTTTCAAGGATGTTGATAACTTGCATTTATAGGAAGCTTGTTAAGGAATGTATCAATAGCACTGTGTAAAAATTAACGCAAAGCTTTTGTGCAACCAACACAGACAATACAGTTGTTCAGTGTCAACAATTTCCCTGTCAAAAAAGGTGACAATTCAAATATTGGGAGGACTGGAGGAGGAGGAGGAACACAAAAAGAAATTTAGTATTTTAGATTAACTGGAAAAGTATGCAAAAGTTCCTGTTAGTATCCACTGTGTTTATTTGGAACATTGCTTGACAATGCTGTTCTTTTGTAGCTGAACTTGGAGACTATGATCCTGCTGAACATGTCCCTGAACTGGTGTCCGAGTTCAGGTTTGTTCCCACTCAGACTGAAGAGATGGAACTAGCCATTTTTGAGAAGTGGAAGGAATGCAGGTACTAGATCTTCCAGTGTGTGCTAACGAGCTGTTTGCACTGATTTTTCTGTGAAGAGAATTTATTAAAAAGATGCTGCTGACACTTCTTCTGTTGTCTTGTTCAGAAACATAATTCTAATACGGTTCTGTCATATTTTGTAAGAGGATATAATGTGAAAAATTAAGCTTTTCAAAGGTCTGAGTAAAATGATGAGGTACAGAATTTTGAAATGCAATAATTTTTGCAGGAGCGGTTTCAGATTAAAACTTAGAAAAATTTGCTTTCATGAACATCAAGGTCACAAGTGTCAGCAGCTTTTAGGTTTTTCACAAACTTTCAGGAATTTCTTTTCCTCTTTCCTCATATACCAGTTTTTCCTTTCTGTGCTTTTTCAGGCATCTACCTAACAGCAAAAAATTTATTTCAGGGGCCAAACACCAGCACAGGCTGAAACTAACTACTTAAACAAAGCTAAGTGGCTGGAAATGTATGGTGTAGACATGCACATAGTCAAGGTATGTTTAACCACAGCATGGTGACCTTTGGAAATGATGATGTTAGCTTTGTCCCACATTTCAACACTGGATTTGCTTTGAGAGGGGGAAAAAAATAAATATTGTACTCATCTAAACTGTGTAACAAGTGATCTGGCTTTGCATCAACATTCCACTTTATAGTATAAATTTCTAGAAGGTATAGCTTTAGTCCAAGTATATCTGCTCTGTGTTAAATTATGTGATTGGTGTGGCAATATGTACTACAGTTTGTATTTAGACTAAGAGCTATGTGAAAATCATAGTAATTAAATTAAAATTGGCTGGGGTCCAGTCAGCTACCAGCTGAAGAACTACAAGTAAAAATAGATCTCCTGTGGAGAAGGAAGTGCAGAGAACTGCACAAGGAAGTCCTTATTACACAGACAAATCAAGAAACTTTGATTTTCTACTTTATTCAGACTTATTGAAGGGTTGCAAACTAGAAAAGTCCATTGCATAAAATCATTGAAACACAAGAGGTTTGTTGTATAAAATAAGCAAATATGTGTTTAACTGTAACACTGGGCAAATAAGCTACATTAATTACTGGAGTAATGGGGATAAAAGGTCTAACACCAAAATGAACATAATCTTTATTTTGTGGCAATTAGGCAAGAGATGGCAATGATTACAGCCTGGGACTAACACCCACAGGAGTTCTTGTCTTTGAAGGAGACACAAAGATTGGTTTGTTTTTCTGGTAAGCTCTCTGATTGTACATTAAAACCCATTTTAGATTTTTACTCTTTTGGTTCTTTTGCACTAGCCAAAAAAAATACTTGTTTGGGATATGAGAGCACTGTGAGTATTAGGTACCTGCAGAAATATTCTGTAGCCTGCAAGTGTTTTCATGGTGTCCAAAAATATTCTTTCTTTTTTTAACATTCTTGGTTGATATGTTAATAGGCTGTATATGTGTAACATGCTTAGAGGCAAGTAAAAGATGGAATAACTTTGGGATGTGTTTTGGTTTTAGGGTTTTTTTTTTTAATAGTGTTTTTGTTGTTGTATTTTGCACTAGATTGCTTTGGAAATAGAGTATGTACCCAGTCAGTGAAATGAAGCTTCTTCAGGCGTTCTAGCCAAGCATCACACCTTACTGTTGAAAAAGAGGCAGAAGCAATAGTACTAGTGGAGTTTTTACATACAGTGTCATCCAGGCAGGCTTTTCATTAGGAAAATGTCTCTTTGTGCCCAGTAAAGGGCAGAAGTGTCCCTTTCTGCCCATCAGTAAGGACTAATTAAAAACAAACAACCAACCAACCCCAAACACCCTTCACCCCCCCCCCCCCCCCCCCCCAAAGTCAGGGGATATAGGGCTTCCTTTAGTTTTTTATGAACACGTGCTTCTTTATCTGTCATATACCTGAATAACACCCCACGGTTTCTTAGAAGCATTCCAATGAAATTTTGCAGGGCTTTATATTGCATAAAACACAAGGTGAAGAACCTTCTAGCTAGCATATTTGGGTCTGGGTACACAAGCGTTTATGGATTTTTAAGTGCTTTATTCTGTAATTACCATCCAGTCTTTCAAAACTGTATACAAAGAATAAGCAGGCAGACGATGAGGTGAAATTTCATCATATGAATAGTTAGTTTGGGTTAGCCCAGTCCAATTCTATAAACTTCTCAGAAAAACACTCACTTTGTAGCAGAAATGTTATCTGTGTGTCTTGTCCCTCCACCATCAATTCTGTGTATTTTTTTGGTGAGCAGGGAGGGGGGAAAGTGGTTGCATTTTTATGTCATGTCATGTTCACATTGTTCTCTTTGGCTGGGATTTTCTGAAACAGTCATCATAGGAATTGATCTGTGATACACTGTACAGTGATTTACATTTCTTTAATAAAGCAGAATTATTTTGGCCTGCCTTTGTGACTTTCTGAGTTCAGTTTTGTGGGCTTGTGGAAGAGTAGGCAAGCAGGAATATTTGGGTGGAGTTTGATTTCAGTTCAAGCTATTATTATTTTAAGTTCCGATAGAATTATCTCTTTAGAAGTTGCTGACTTCTTATCTTTAAGGTTTCTAATTAAGTGTTAAATTTTGAAGTGATACATTGGTATCCACAGTATAATCGAGCCCTACTGCATGAACTTAAAACACCCACAAACACAGAGAAAAATAATTTGGTAGAGAGGCTTGAACCAGCATGTCGAACATAACTCTCAGTGAGTTACTAAGAGAGTTAGACGTAACCTGCTTTTTCTGTTCATCTTGCAGGCCAAAGATAACAAGGCTTGACTTCAAGAAGAACAAACTCACTCTGGTTGTTGTTGAAGATGATGAACAGGTAGGTAACTATCTGTTTAGTTCCATCTCAGTCTTGATTATACAGTACTAGCTTACATACTCCTGATCTCTTTCTTTATATTGAGATTTTGAGAATTAACGTGGATGCCTTGCAAGATTTTTGACTGTGACTTGGGTGGAGAAGGGGAATGAAGGGACTTAAGTATAAAATAAATAGGCTCAATTACTTCCCCCCCCCCCCCCCCCTACAACTGAAATACTA